CCTAATATAATGTATTAATCATAATTAATGAACTCTATTCATATTCCATAAATATTCAAATCATAATAATTGAACTCCCACCATTTCTATAAATATATCAATTAATTGGGTTGTAAGGGTTGTACAAATACACAAGATTGTAAAAGAAATATACCCTATATAGAGGTTGGTTATTTAAAACCTTGTCCACTTACCTTTTCTAAATGCTGGCTTCTTGAAAGTAATTGATTAATTAATTTAATTTGTTTTTCATGTAGGTAATGATCTTTAGCTATCACTTTCTTTCTATTTTTGTTTATTTTCTTAATATATTTTGATTTAGTATTAGTTAGTTTTTCAGAACAAATAAATAAATAATGTTTTAGTTCCCGTATAAGGATTCCCTAAAAATAGCATGCTCTTATGTATAAATATATATGAACCTCAATTTATGTTTGTCATTCATTGTGAAGTTAATTCGTCTCCTAGCTGTTCTTTGATTAATTTGGAAATAGAACTATCTTTCAATTAATATACAGAGGTCTCAAATCTATGGGACTAACGGTAGTTCCCATCGGACCAATTCTTGCAAACAAATATTACATAGATCGATCAGTCTTGTTAGTTAAGGTAAAGTACAAGGCACTGAAAACGCCCGCCTCTTAATGGGTCTCCCAACTAAATTTATCATGCATACACGTTTGTATTAAGTAAACCTTTTTTGAAATAAAGTTTGTATGACTAAAATACAAACCCGAAGATTCTCAAACATAAGCCTGATTGATGTGAGACTCAGGGACATCCTCATAGTGAGCCAACAGACCATCAAACATGGACCTAAAGATGGAGGTAACCTCCCGAAACAGGAGGTGCCTTTAATAACTTCACAATTGCAAAATTTACATCATAAAAGATATTAGGTACAATTTATATGTACAAGCTAATTAAAAACCTTATGCCACATCAACTTACCCGCTTCCTGCCACCCGGACCACCGTCTGCTAACTCGGACGACGAGGCGTCTGCATCGTAGTATTCGCCCCTCTAGCCCTCTATCCTGATCTGATATGATGCACTCCCTTGGTGGAAGTGTCAGGGATGTAATCGTCAGACTCTCGTGTAGGGGTCACCATGCCTGGTCTAGCTGTTACTACCCCTGCTAAAGCCTCTACCTCTATTGCCACGCCCCATCTGAAATAAGA